ACAGGAAGCCCCTGCCCCGGGCTTCCTGGAATCAGCCGCTGATCAGTTTCAGCAGCAGCTGACTTGGGGATGCCTGGGGTTCTTAAGTTGAATTTGTATGTAAGTCAGAACTGGCGCCCAGATTCAGCCACTGTTGAAGCTGATCAGTTTCAGCAGCGGCTGAATCTGGACGCCAGTTCCGACTTACATACAGATTCAACTTAAGAACAAACCTACAGTCCCTATCTTGTACGTAACCCGGGGACTGCCTGTACATTAGTAGCAACAGTTAGACTATCCAGAAGAACCATCAATCTGATTAGCTAAACATCTTGAAACTTCCCTTGCTCAAAACAAATGAGGCCTGTTGCAAACAGACCTCACTGTTTGAACAGCATTGCAGTATTTGGGGCAGGAAATCCGAGATCAAGGAAAAAAAAAAAAAAAAGAGGCTGTCCCACAATACAAAGTTATAGTCTGTGTTTTATACCATAGTACATTTAGGAAACGTATGGGACTTCAGAATATACCAATGTCAAAGACATGACAAATGAGAGGGATAATTGGGGCTCATTTGTGACACTGTGTTAAATGTCAAATTAAACTAGTATCAGGAAGCTCAATGAGGGAAAATCTTATTATTAAGCTTCTTTCACAGTCACAGCAGCTCTGCAAAAGGAAACTAACTCCTTTCATAAGCTTATACCATGACTTTTGAGATCAAGCAAGCCTCAAAATGAAACTCTGCTCTTCTGATAAGAGGCTGTAACTTACGCATCTCTAGAGACCCCGTATGGAGGCAGAGAAAACAACAGCCTCCCCAGAACAGTATAAGTTATTTGTAAAACAGCTGCCCTGTGCAGTTTCACTGCATTTTGTTCAAACAATGGACGCTTTCAGGATGAGGAGGATGGACAGTTAAATCCTTAGAATTTGTTTTATCCCCTTTGCTTCTCTTTTTTTCCTTTTGTGACATTTTCTCAGCAAAGAAAGGAAAATTGAACTCAGCGCTTAGTCTTCTTTTCCCCATTATTATTATTGATATTGTAGTCATCCTAGAGGCAAGAGGAATAGATTGGTTGGTATGCCCTAAGGGAGCCAGGACGTTCCGGTAGCCTCACTCAACCCTGTAGTTACCCAAGAGGTGTGGGTCATGCCTATTGGGTCTGATGCTGCACGGTGCTAAGCATTTCCTAAAAAGTGCAGATGATCTCAGTTCCCACTGAAGCTCGGTGGGAGACAAGACTCTGCTCCTCTCTAAAGGTTCCATTCACATCTCAGGATTCATCACTGTCACTCTTTTTCAGTCCTTCCAAGTCTCCTGCGCTGCTCTGTAAACTTCTCCCCCACCTGGTCAAAGGGCCCAGCAATTCTGTTGGTCCCCCTGCTGGGGTGTGATCACAATAAAAAGGAGAGAAGAAAAATACTTGGGCGTGATTCCTTATTCCATTCCACCTGTCTCACAGCAGCATCACATCATGCATTCCAGTGAAGTTACGAGAGCTTAAAACTAGTACAACAGAGAGGAGAAACTGGCTGGAAACAGCAAACTGCAGCCAATAGGAGCTGTGAGGCTCCGTGCCTATGGATGCCCAGATAAGCACAGTGTCTCGCGGCTCGCCGGCAGCTTACTCAGGTGGGCCAGCAACCCAATTATGAAAATCTCTGACACAAATAACATTCTACAGTTAGAAAGATGCTCAATCATCAGGCTTGTATAAACTGTACGTCAGGTATAGGTCTGAGTGAAATATCATGAAATATCATCCAAGAGCTTAATATAAGCATAAAGTATACACATGCATTATGATGTTTTCCCTTCTTTTAAAATATGTATTGATAGCCCAGCTCAAAGACAGAACAGAGAACTAGAGAGACTGATAGTCTGCTTCTTTATATTTAACATGTTTTTATAGTAGTACCTAAGCTTAGAGCAATTATTTTTAAAATGTATGTTGCCCCTCCTTTGGAGAAGAATAAAGGAAAGATCAATAGTACAATGATTATGTAATTTTTTCTACTATGGATGCAAAGCAAGGAACAAGTCCGAACCAAGAAGAACAGGGAATGACACTCAGGTTTTTTCTAAAAACCTGTTCAACTGTACAATATTCAGGTGGTAGAAACGTATTAAAAGATGTAAATGGACATTAGAGACACAAGGTGGTGAAGTAACAGCTTTTATCGAACCAATGTCTGTTGGTGAGAAAGAACTTTTCAAGCCACACAGAACTCTTCTTCAGATCTGGGAAATCTGTTTTACCTTGCATTTGGCTGGGTCATGGGGAATACCTTCCCCAGACTTGAAGAGCTCTATGTGACTCGAAAGCTTGTCTCTCACCAATAGAAATGGGTTCAATATAAGATATTAACTAACCCACCTTGTCTCTCTGACACAGCTACACTTCATATTCCAGTGAACAGATAAAAATGAAAGAAGGAAAACAAAAGAGGAGTTCAGAAACATGCTGTAATGTAATGCACCAACACAGATGTGCATAATTTTTGTACATGGGAAATAGCAAGGGGTTCAGACAAAGAAATACTAAAATAGCTAAGTGATATTACTACAGTCATGATTAATATATTAAATGCAGATGAGGATTTCAACATGCAGACATTTGAAACAGTTTTTTTAAACGTTTCCAACATTTAAAAAAAGTTAGGTACTAGAAGGAAAGGCTGGTAAATAATGCTATAATTTATGGGCCATTAGGATTACTTTACTACACTTTAAAATATACACTTTAGTGACCTTCAGAAAAGTGTGTCAATGGCCTGTCATGAAAAGGCATCACAATTCTGGGAACATACTTTCTGGCAGGCTGTTCCCAATGCCCATGTCTAAATGTTCATCATGTATTAAAATAAATAAATCAGATAGGATTGGATTTCTTATGGGGCTGATACGAGGATACAGAGCCTCTCTCCTCTAGGCATCCATTTCCAATGCAGTGACTTAACATAAAATAAACTGAAGGCCTCAACCCATTTTATAATGACCCATATTGCTAAAAACACTTTAGAGTAGAATACAGGAGAAACTACTGCCTCAAAAAGCAAGGCCAGAAACTAAATGGGCATGAAAATAAACCATGGCTTGAGGAAAGGGGTAACTCCAAAATAGGTCAGGGCATAGTGGACCACAAGCTAAACAGGAGGAGTCAACAGTGTTGCAAAAAAAGGAAATATCATTCTTCGATGTATTAGCAGGAGTGCTGTTAGCAGAAATCGAAAAGTAATTCTGCTCTACTCTGGGCTGATTAGGCGTCAACTGCAGTATTGTGTCCAGTTCTGGGTACCACATTTCAGGAAAGATATGAACAAATTGGCAAAATTCAAGAGAAGAGCAACAAAAAAGATTAAAGATCTAGAAAACACGAGTAGGGGAAGATTGAAAGAACTGGGTTTGTTTAGTCTGGAAAAGAAAAGACTGAGAGGGGACATAACAGTTTTTATGCATCTGAAATTGGTTGTTACAAGGATGGTGAAATATTATAGCACAATGGGTTTAAATTGCAGCAAGGGAGGTTTAGGTTGGACATTAGGGAAAAAAAATCCTGTAAGGGTGGTTAAGCACTGGAATAAATTGCCTATAGAGGTTGTGTAGTCTCCATCATTGGAAAATGTAAGGAGCAGGTTAGACAAACACCTATTAGGGATGGTCTAGATCAGGGGCAAGCAAAATATGGCCCAGAGGCTGGATCTACCTTGCCACAATATTCTGGCCACCCAGCAGGATGCTTGGGCAGTATCCCTGCCTGAGCAGCATAGAGGGGGAGCAAAGCCGCAAGTTGCTGGGACCAGCATGTGTCTGCCCCCGCCCCCAGTACAATCCTCACAGCTCCTATAGTCCGGAAACTGGCCAATGGGAGTTACCTGGGCTGTGCAGCTTTGGAAAATTGAGTCTTAGCAATTTAAAACATTCCATTTTCATGGAAGATTTTATTCTATCATGAAGTCTTAGCATCACTGAAGTCAATGGCAATGACTTAAATGGGGCCAGGTTCTCATCCTGTTAGCTATTGTGCTATTGTTACAGGTTACTTTAACATGCCAGACATCTGACTCAAAAGAGTGAGAAAAAAAATGTTTTGTAAAACACTGAACCTTTATTACACTCTAGTAAAATCTACACTTTTATGTCATTTGAGTGTCATCAAAATACACAAAGAAACATTAAGCATACCTCAGCTCCCAAACTGAGAGAGATTATTTCATCCTCAAAAGCAGAATGAGTATCAATATGAGGAGGAATCCCTGTAACACAAAAAACAGTGAGTAAACAAACTGCCATTGCAATTATTCTTCCCCTTCTGAGCTGCTTGGCTTCCCCCTTCTAAGCTCTGCCTCCAGTTTGCACAGGTTTTACAGGAGCAGCTGGGTACGGCCAAATGGGCCTAGAGCTACTCCTTAACCCTTGTTCTCCAGCATGGGGTTTGCACATCACAACACAGTAACCTTGTGAACTTTTATGCCTACTAGGTGTGGTGTAATACCACAGCAGATCAAAATACGGAATTTCCTTCTCCTCCCATGGGAAATTCTAACATGTCAACAATTGTTTTCATCCCAAATATACATTTGTTTTCAAAATGCACTGCAGTAGCTCAGCTACAGGGAGATCCCAGTGTATCATGGAAGACATAGTCTGGCCTGAGAGCAGGGGCCATAGGGAGAATAGGGACATGTACGACTTGGAAATAAAACTTCCATTAGGCACTGCAGCTGCTCAGGCAGACACACAGATTAAAGTGGACTTGAGCCCAAATTAAATATTTTGTTTAGGTTCCCCGATCAAAAATTCTGTCATAACTGATCTCTTCCTGCAGAAAGTTCTGATTTTTATAATGTCCATTTTCCAACTACAAAATGTTTTGTTCTGATATTGTTACTATATATTGGACTGGTCAAAACAATTAGGACAATATAGTAACAATAGCCAGATTTTACTCCCAGATGCAAATATACTTACTTCCATTAATTTCAAGAGGAACAATGTACTTAATCCCTTACAGAACTTGTTAAACTTCTTACACCAAGTTTTCTATGTTACAACATGGCTACAGTATGAAGTATAGAAATTCTGCCTTAAGAAATATTTGAACTCAGCCTGATAAAAGACATGTGCATCTATTATTTCTTTGTAGCAGCATCCAAACTCTCCAGTCAGGATCTCATTGTGTTTTTGCAGCTTCAAGCACATACTAAGAGACAATGGACTCAATTTTTGAAAGTGAATAGAGACTTCAGGTGCCTGAATTTTGGGGTCTTCATCTTGAGATGCTTTAGAGAGGCCTGGTTTTCTCAATAATCAGGACCACTTAAAGGTAGCCCAAGGTTCCCAAAATCACTAATAATTTTGAAAACTGTGTCCCTACCTCGAAAAGCTTACACTCTAGGGATGTAATTTGACTCAGTACAGATACTGGATAGCATGTATCTGAATGCACTGGATTGCACATACTGTAGGCTAATTAATATCCTACATAATTAATTCTTAAGAAAGGTTTTATATATAGACTGTATTCTTGGTAGAAAATTATAATTAATACTAATTGATTCAGATAACCCAGCTAGCAGCGCATGACCATACCACTTAACTGACTGTCGGCTATGTGAATAAACAGGGTCAAATGTCTAGACTCTAGCATGGCAGTTACTAAATACATTGTCAGAGATTAATTCTGGAAGGGAAGCGTCTGTCCTTCATTTGCAAGGACAAACCAGCTATATTCCAGAGAAGTGAAAGCCAAAGTCAGGTACTTTGCCTTGATGACTGAACTCAGCAGAAAGCACAACCTATGTTTTACCCTGTGGATACCTGACTGGAATTTAGGGAGCAAGAATTTAACTGGTTAAATGGTTAAACTCCCGACCACCACTGAGAGACCGCAGAGTTAACAGCCCATGGAGTGTTTAACCATGTAACCAATTGCATTTCAATCAGTTACACTATTAGTGTTTTTTTAAAATGTTTACATTCATACTGGAAATAACTACCTCTTCTATCCTACAGTCTAGAAGAGATCGTTGGAACAGCACTGCATTCCTCTGGTACAGGGACACAGCTTGTATTACCCTGAAGAGTCTCTCTCATGTACTAATAGAAGGGGCTTCTTGTTGCAGGCAGAAGGCAGCAAGGTTGGGAAGTTTGGCCAGCCTGTTATACTTGGACCAAGTGATTTTCCTCAATCTACACTATCTGGCTGGATTGACAGGCAGCGATCAATCCAGTGGGAGTCGATCTAGTATAGATATGATAAATGGACTACCGAGAGCTCTCCCATTGGCTCCAGTACTCCACAAGAACAGGAAGCGCAGGTGGAGTTGACGGGAGAGCATCAGCTGTCAAATTAGCATAGTGAGGACACCACTGTAAGCAGATCTAATTACGCTGACTTCAGTTAGGTGAATAATGTAGCTGAATTTGTGTAACTTAGATCGATAGCCCCCAGTAGCTTAATCTTAGGAAGTGAGTAAAAAATGCCTTTGGTTGATTCTGTCATACATGTATTGTTTACCTCTCCAGGTTACTCTTTCATTACATGATCGGCTTTCATGACCTGGCCTAAGATCCTTGGACCAGATTCTAATCTATGCAGTTTCAATACCAGAGCATCTCTAAATGTGAGTTCTCAAGTTAGGAAAATTGCATCCAGACTTTACTCTAAATGCATGAAAGCATCCCTGCAGGACTTAGCAGATGCTGACATTCTGTCTCTGAATCAAAGCCATAGTAGCTGGTTTTCTGTTTCTAATCTTAGATAAAATATTGAATTTGATGGTTTTAAAAAGGCAAATACACTTACCTTGTCCAGGTTCATACTGATTTATTGTCAGCTGATCGGGTTTATGTTTGATATATCCCTGCTTCAAGCACTTCTCCAGAAGCATGCTGCAAATTTCTGGGAGCCCTGTTATTACAATCAGAAGTATAAGCCAGATGTTTACTACTCTTTTTTTTCTGCTGTTGGTCAAAGAGAAATCTAACTTGACAAAATATACAGAAGTACGATAAAATATCTACAGCCAACATGGGACTCTAAGTCTGTTATTGAACAAGCATGTTTGTACTATGATGTGTGCATGGAAATAGTGTGTCTAATCCTCAAATCTTCTACATGTGTAACTTTCATAGATTCTGAGGAATTCTTAGAAGCCATCCACACACAAAGGACTGGCAGCACCTGCGCTCATTGTTTGCATTTTCAAATGTGAACCTAAAAAGGCTGGGTGCCAAATTCAATGTCACTGAAATCAATGGCAAAATCTTCATTCACCCCAACGGGTACAGAATTTCACTTAGGTGCACACTGGCTTTGCACAAAATTGAAGGCTGAATAAAACTCTGTCTTAGGGCAGTCCCTGCCTGGAACTGTAGAAGGCTGAAGCATGATGATAATGTCCACCTCCGTTTTCCTTCTGCAGATTCCCCCAAAACAGTCCATAGAATCTAAGGGCAAATACAGTCCTGGTTGGGTTATCCTGTTTAAAAGTAGAGTCTACACAAATTGTAAAAACAGTCTAACTATCATTGTCCAGTCTTCCCCCAGCATAGTCCCAACAGTTCATGCAAGACACAGTTCTGGCATCTTCCACAGCACTCCAGCTCTCCAAAGCTGTCCTCGCCTGTCCTTATAGTGATAGAAATGTAGCCGTGTTAGTCTGGGGTAGTTGAAGCAAAATGCAGGACAATGTAGCACTTTAAAGACTAACAAGATGGTTTATTAGATGATGAGCTTTTATGGGCCAGACCCACTTCCTCAGATCAAATAGTGGAAGAAAGTAGTCACAACCATATATACCAAAGGATACAATTAAAAAAAATGAACAAATATGAAAAGGACAAATCACATTGCAGAACAGAAAGGTAGGGAGAGTGGGATGTTTGTGAGTTAATGGTATTAGAGGTGATAATTGGGGAAACTATCTTGGTAATGGGTGAGATAACAAACATTTGAACTAAGTCCTTGTTGGAAAGTGTCGAATTTTAACATGAATGACAGTTCAGAGGATTCCCTTTCAAGTGCAGATGTAAAAGGTCTTTGTAGCAGAATGCAGGTGGTTAAGTCATTGAGAGAGTGTCCTTTCTGGTTAAAATGGCAAGAAACTGTTTTCTCTTTGTGATCTTGTCTGATATCTGTTTTGTGGGCATTAATCCTTTGGCGAAGTGTCTGAGACGTTTGTCCAATGTACATAGCAGACGGACACTTTCGGCACATGATAGCATAGATTATATTTCTGGATGCGCAGGAATATGTGTTCTTGATCTTATAACTCAAGTTATAACTGACAATAATGGTATCAGCAGAATGAATATGTGGACAAAGCTGGCAACGGGGTTTGTTGCAAGGGAAGGTACCAGGGTTGGTATTAGTGTGGTATGTCCTGTGGTGGTTGGTAAGAATCATCTTGAGGTTAGGTGGTTGTCTATAGGAGACTATGGGTCTGTCTCCCAGAGCCTCTTGGAGTATGGTATCCTGTTCCAGTATAGGCTGTAGTTTATTGATAATGTGTTGGACAGGTTTAAGTTGGGGGTTGTAGGTGATGACAAGTGGTGTTCTATTGTTGGTTTTCTTGGGTCTGTCTTGAAGTAGATGGTTTCTAGGTATTCGTCTGGCTCTTTCAATTTGCTCCTAACAGCCTCTCTGCTGGAAGCGTCCCTCACATCCCCTGGCCCTCCCATGGTTCCTCTCAATCTCACTCTCTGGCCCTAAAGTTTCAATGAGTAAACCCCTCTGTTGTTCCCCTTCTGACAGCCCTCTCCACCCATAGCCTAAGCAGGCAATTCCCTCTGCTGCTCCTCCTGGGTCAGCCTTTTCCAGCCTTTTGGCTCTGGCTCAGGGATGCCAGCCAGCAACCTCACTTGTTGCTCTTCTACCTTCAGGTCCAAAATGTACAGTCACTGATTCCTCCCCTCTTCCCAGGGATGATCTTGCAGAGGACTTCGTGATCCCTGCAGCTTTCCTTGGAAACCTCCATTCTCATCGGGACTCTCGCTGAACTTCTGTACTGCTAGTGTTTTGTGGAAGACTGAAGCAGCTCCCATGTACTGGAACTGGCAAGCCTGTGCCAGAACTTTTGAAAATTTGACCCTTACAGCCAGCTGATTCAAATGTAATTAAATAAGGTCTTTAATAAATCTATTGAATTTAAAGTATTTTACCAGTAATATGCAAAAATGAAATCTTTACGAGAGTCTGCAGTTTGCTACTATGCGGGACAAAAACTTAATTGTAAATTTCAACTAAGTACAGCACACTTGAATGCTATGCTAATATTCCTTTCAGCATTCTTTCTTACTGATGGTTATTACTGCTTTTTTTCCTCCATTCCATCCATTAATATTTGTCTTGCACAGAGACCATTAACCTCTAGTTGAGAGGCCACAAAACAGCCAAGACAAATATCAACGCTTTTATGATTAAGCACAATTTCAGATACTAAAATAAAATGTAACTTGCATCTGTCCATGGGAAACTGTATACATCACCTTGAACACTTGTGTTTAACTTTCAGTATAAGTGAATTCCCTATTTCACTATTTATATTACTACATTATAAGATGTTTCACTTTGTTTTCTCTGATTCATAGTTCTCAGACTCAAAGCAGAATTTTTCAGCAAGTTTCCATGATTGATTTCTGCACAAAAAGGGAGTTGTTTTGGAAAATATCAGGAAAATACATTTAGCCATTTTCAGGTTATTCAAATATTTTTCAAGTATAATATTTTTACCACCTTGATTAACTTGAACATTTTATATTATATGTGAGTACACACTTTTTCTGGTATAAAAATGAATTTGAAATTATCTTCATATAACAACTGTTCATAAAACAGCCAAACTTTAGGAGGTTAAACCCACATTTGGCTAAATCTCCATGAAGACTGGCAATCATACATTTTTTCAATCTGTTTTAAACATACTCACTTATTAGTGATTGAAAATGGGTTTCATAAATGCGTGCTAAAATATGGCACTAAGGCATTGACTCAGGGAAGTATCCCTATTCAAGAAGGCTGTTTAAGCATGTCCTTAAATGAAAATGATATTAACTGGACTTATATACCTGTTTAAGTGCCTTCCTTAATCAGGGCTTTAGTTACACAACTTCCAGGGATACTACACTGTACTGACTTTAGGTTCCGTGTGTCTCTGTGGGAAAACAAATGCCATTTTAAAATACCTCTTCATTGGAAAATTCTCACCTCCAGGCAATGGTTTATCTTTATCTACATTGTTGTTGTCATATCGAAACTCATATCCAAAATGCTTTACCCTTCTGTGTTTTAAAGACTTCTGGGCTGTGAAGCAGAAAATATTAAACAATTAAAATATTAAAATATGTACAATATATTTACTTACACAGTTTGCTATACTTCCAGGATATTTGTCTATTGCCTATTCCATATAATCTCTTTGCAGATCAAGAACTTTTCAAACTTAACTTTTCCATTTACTAAGTGTGACAAAAACACAGAGCTTTAGTACCACTGCTCTTTGAAGTCCAAACCCCGGTGCTTTTACATATAGCAGCAATCCTACAGACATTAATGCTTACGTATAAGAGCAAGGGCTGTAGGTCCCTGGATTCCATGTTTGTCTCTGATAATACCAATATTCTTGAGCCATGGCTGACACTTTCTACAGTCCTAACACATGGACAAACTCATGATATGGACATAGTAAGAACTTTCACTTCCTTACATTATTACACTGTACACAAGCTGAAGTCAATATAATGCTTTGTGCCATGCCAAGCAGTAAAAGTTACTTTGCAATCTGGAAGCTAATTGGAAAAAAATAACTGGCAGTGTTAAGAAATTTAATTCCACAGAGATCATTTGAAACTATACAAGCAGCTAGGAAGGGAACTTCTTTGACTTCTCACTGGTGCTATAGAATCTCCAGCGCCCACAAAGGCTACTAAATCAAAAGTGATATATTCTGACTGACCATGTTGTCAGGAAATGACTCTACCTAGCTGCTTCTGAAAGCAGGAGTGTAATTCAAATTAACCCATTAATGGAGATGAACACCTTACACCACATGCCTCTGGTTAGTTGCAACTGTATGCTATAAAACCTTGATATAGTAGCTTTAAAAGAACTAAAATACAGACTGATTTTAAGGAATACATTTTCCAAGATGCAGACTTCTTGAAGAAACTAAATTCAGCAAAAGGACAATTTGCCAATTTTTGAAGATCCCACTTTCTATGGTTATACTAACCATTCTGAATTACTTCATTTTCTGTCCAATCAATGTTTTCCAAAATCTTTTGTTCTTCTTCCAGAGACACAAGCTCTTCAATCATCATCAGGCCTGGAGGCAAACTTATAGGTAAAGAGTCCTCCCAGTGCACTATGGGTTATAAAAATAAAACAGTGCTGTTGCTGATGGGAAATGATCCACTTGTGTTCTCTTAAACAATAATGAACATTTATTTGTATTGCACAGTAAGTGAAAAATATTAGACCCATGATCACCAACCCATCGATTGCGATCGACTGGTCGATCCTGGAGGCTCGACCAGTCAATTGCAAGGATCCTGGAGGCTCAAGCAGTCGATTGCAAGGCCTCCTTGTTGCCCCCCACACCCAAGATGAACGCCACGCTGATTCTATCTCCAGGGACAACAGAGGTAGCGCAGGCTTCCTGCAGGGTTGGGGGAGTTATGTAGCTGTGTGCCAGGTCCCAGAAGTGTGCGGGCTGCTCTTCCTGCCCCCCGCCAAACAGCCAGTGTGGTACCTAAAACGCTGGTCCGTTGCACACTGGGGACTTTGTTCCCCTGGTGACATCCTGCACGCAGGGAAGGGGGTGGGAATCCGGGACTGCGCCGGCTCCACCTGCTCGGGTGGTGCGTGCTGCCATGGGGAGTGGAGGAGTAAGGCGTGTGGGGGCTGGCGCAGTCCAGAACGCCCCATCCCCTCATGCAGGAAGGCATCAAGCGTGCGACGAACCAAAGTTTTAGGTACTGCGCCGCTGTTTGGGGGATGGGTGAGCAGTCCACACACTTCCTGGGCCTTGGCATGCAGCCACAGGATCCCCAGGTACTGGTCCCTGTCCACTCCCCCACACCCAGATCCCCACAAGTACCCTGCCCCAGCACCCACCAGCACCCTGTCCTCTGCCCCGACACCCATTGGCACCCTGCCCAACCACCCACTGGCATCCTGCCCCAACACCCTGTACTGGCACCCTGTCCCCTGCCCCAGGCTCCTACCCCAGCACCCACTGGCACCCTGTCCCCTGCCCCAGCACCCACAAGCACCCTGTCCCCACCAGCACAGTTGGGGCCACATTAGTGAGGTTTGAGGGGTTTGGATAGGTTGTGTTTTTGTATCTCACTTCGGTGGCCCCGACTGACTTTTCTGTGGGTCAGTGACCCCTGACTCAAAACAGGTTCCCATCCCCTCACGCAGGAAGGCATCAAGCGTGCGACAAACCAAAGTCGCATAAAGAAAGAAAATTCTGAAACCTTTTGTGTTTGACATAATATTTTATTTAAAAATGAGGTCTGGCCAACAAGCCCCGAATTGGGGCCAAGCCCTCATCTGGCCACAGCATCATAACACTCCTGTACCCCCCATCCTGACCTCAAATCTGAGCCTATGATACACTGGAACCCCTTGTCCTGAGCCTCTGCACCCCCATATCCTCAGTCTTCTGCCACAACACTCCTGCACTATTCACACACTGCAATTCTGTGTCCTGAGCCCATCATATTCCCAACCTCCCTGCTCTGAGCCCCTCACACAGCCCAACCCAAACTCCTACATCCTCACATCCATAGCACCCCAACTCTCTACCTGAACCCAACACTCCCCAGCCTGGAGCCCCCTCCCTGAGCCAGCATCCCATTTTCCACCTCCTCCTGCATCCAAATTCCCTCCCAGAGCTTGCACCTCACCCTTTTCCACACCTAAATCCCTCATTCACACACCAGAGCCCGCACCTCCTGTCTCAACCCAGCGAGGGTACGGCTAGACTGCAGGAGTTTTTCTGGAAAACACACTCTTTTGGCAGCCTCTGTATTCTTCATTTCATGAGGAATGAGGGGGCTCCCAAAAGAAGGGGTTTTTCCTACATTTGGCCCAGTCTACACAGGACAAATGTCGGAAAAAAGTCAGAAAAAAGTCTTCCAATAGAAGGATCGAAAAAAAGCAGCAGTGTAGCCGTACCCTGAGAGTGTATAAGGGCCAGGGATAGCAAGTGATTGAGAGAAGGGGAACAGAGAGAGCGGGGCCTCAAGGAAGGGGTGCAGTCTTGGGGAAGGGATGAGGTAGATCTTGGCTTGTCCTGACATTTAAAAGTGATGTTGCAGTGTAAAAAGGTTGGAGACCACTGTATTAGACTGATAGTCATCTGAAATAATTATACTCCTGGATAGCATAAAACACGATCAGAACCCAAGTTCTCTGCTCTACAACCCAATTCTCAAATCCCACTGTGTAGGACCCAAGAGAATCAGTGTTTTCCCACTATCAAAAAAATATCTGACTTGTCTGTCAAAATAAAGATCAAAACTTTCCCATGCATTTTAGGGGAGAGTCTAATTGCATTCAATCTGATCTATCTAAGACTGTTTGTGGTTGACAAGCATAGAGTACACTGAAGAAAATACGTCTGAATGCTGTAAGCCTGAATGCTGTGTGCTGTTTCTTTAATGTAATAAAGGATTTAAAATTAAGGTGGCCACGTGTAGCTCTGCAATCAGACATGATGAAATATTCGCTGCAACGCCTATCTTAATGGCAAATGACTTTCTAACTTGCAGCCTTATTCATTTATTATTGAAAATTATCTGAACTATGGTAGAGTTTAGAGGCCAAGATCAAGACCTCATGGTGCTAGGTGCTCTACAAACACAAAGAGAAATAATTCACAATCTAAACGGGCAAGTATTGTTCCTATTTTACAAATGAGAAACTTAGGTGCAGAAAGACCAAGTGACTTGGCCAAGGACACAAAGGAAGTCTATACAGTGGAAATTAACCTCAGAGTTCCCAAGTCCAAACCTGTTGCCTTAACCACAAAGACATCTTTCCTCTCCAGCAACAAATGGTTTGCTCCAAGCTACCAGAGAGACCATTCCTCTCCTACCCCCACATATAACCACATGTGCTCATGGAGGTGCTCAGGGTGCAGCCTCCTAGCATTAAACAAAAAGATGCTACTACAGGTTGAATCTCTCTAATCCAGAACTCTCTTGTCCAGAAATATCCATCATTCAGAATGATTTTAATTAACCAGATATCCACTTTTTATGGGTGTGGCCAAGTTTCCCGCAGTCCCATAAAGTTTGTTTACAGCCACCAGTCCTAGCTCTCAGTATTCTGTTCTATTATTTAGCCCTAATTTACCCCTAAATGTCCTCTAACAGCACAGTAAGGAGTGGAAGTATTGGTAATGCTGCTAGACAATATTGACCTCCCGTGGTCCAGAAAATTCTGTCGTTTGGAATCGGTGAGATCCTGAAGGTTCTGGACCAGAAAAGTTCAACCTGTAGCAGCACATTGACCGTGAAGGTTCCTTAGTTTTGGTATTTTCTTCGTGCCACAGTCTACAAAAGATCAGATTTCATAGCATATGTCAAGACTTCTTTTTCCCCTAGACTTTGGCTAATAAGGAAAGTAGATTGTTTGCTCCTCTTGGGCAATTAATTTTGCTTTTCAGGTTCCTGGAAAAGTTGACCCTTGTATTTTATATGTGTATTCATACATGCAATACAAATAACTGGTGCAAACACCCAGAGATTTCTCTCAGTACAATATGATAAAATAAAATTTAAAAAAAAGCCAGGAATGATTACTATCACATAATTAAAAAATATAGGGTGAAATTCTGGCACCACCGAAGTCAATGACAAAACTTCCATTGACTATAACGGAACCAGAATTTTATCCACAGTTCTATTAGAACAAGCAACTAAAAAGCAATGGAACAACAGTGATACTTTATGGGACAACAGAATATCCATACCTTTTTCCACAAAGTTAAGATACAGAGTAACATTTTGGTTGGAATCCTCCAGTGTTATCTCTTTCCCATTGAGAGTGTGGTAGGCTCTCTTGGCTTCTTCTGTCGACCCATATTTCACAAATGAATAGGGTTTATTTGGAGGCATTAAGAGTTCTTCCACCAATCCACATTTCTCAACTAGTCTGAGCAGCTGGTGTCTATTCACACCATTACCCAGACCTCCATTGGCAATGACCAAGCTCTAATTTAAAAACATTAAAAACAGACATTTAGGGGTCACCACTGATTTGTTTACCTGAAAGTAGCATTTCACAAACACAAGTGTCATAAAGAGAAATGAAGCTATTATCTCAAAATTGGTCTGTGATTATTGTTTGATATTCCAAAGGAAATGTTGACATTTCAATTAGTCTGCAGCTATCTGAGGCCCAGAGCTCATTAGTACAGGACACTTTTAAGGGATAGGCTTTCACAAAGCAAGAGCATTCAACCTCTGATAAAAAATAACATGCCCACATTTGTGTGTGCAGGCACCTCAACTGGGTCCCCAAACAAGCTATCAGTGTGTGTGTGGGGCGGAGGGCGGGGGAAATTTCCCATTTACAGTATCTGGATGATACATGCCTTGCCCCTGCCCTGAACATTCTTGTCCCTCAGCTACAAAGTTTATTTGTATATGCATATTCCGTAGCTAATGGGTAACTGTTAGCGCCGTGCAATACCTTTGAAAGGGTGGAACAAACATAAATCCGATTATATTAACTGTATCTGCCTGATATGTTCCATTACAGTTGAGTGCTAGAGCTCCTACAAATGAACTTATGGAGAACTGAGCTCACAGCAGCCCATTTCTCAACTCCCCCAATAATTTTGGAGGGAGTAGCCATTGGAGTAGCTGCAGCATATGCTGGGTCCCGAGGAACCTTTTGTTGCCCCCCCCACCCCAGGGTTGCCAGGTGTCCGGTATTGACCCGGACAATCCGGTATTTTTGCCTCCTGTCCTGTAAAAAATTTCAGAAAATACCAGACACCTAAGATGTCCAGTATTTTCTGGGGGGTTTTTCCTCTGCCAGGAGGCAAAAATACCAAACATCTGGCAACCCTCCACACACTCAGCAACCGGGCACAGCCCCTGAGACACTCCTCCCCCGGACTTAGTTGGTTCTGCAGAGAAGCTGCCTTGTGGCTCAATGAAGAAAACAAGATGGGTGCCGGCAAAAAGCCTAAAGACCTGAAGCAAGGGAAAGCAATGCCTTCCCTGGGTCTTAGTGCTCAACCTCTCCCCTATTCCTATCTCTATTCTGACTCTGCACGCATTTAAAGGGGCCATGCTGTTTTAATGCTGTTTTATTTTTTTATTTCTTTGCTTAATAACTCTCTGGGTCCTTTTTTTCCCCCTCACTCAACTTTGGTCTCTTTTTTGTGTTGGGGGGGGGGGGGGGGGGAAGGCACCAGTGTTCAGTATTTTTGGTTAAACCATCTGGCAACTCTACCCCTCCCTCCCCTCGAGCAGCAGCCCCCAGGGAACTGGAAGAAACAGAATTCACCCCAGCAACCAAAGCAAAAGTTATTACAAGCTGTGGGCAGCAGAGAGTATCTTTTCATGGCAGACTGCATGGACAGCATCTTGGTGCCTCCCCCACCCACCCCCAACCTGTGGATTTCAAAATGGAGACCAGGAAGTGCAAACAGTGAAACAATCATTTAAAAATGAAGTTTTATTAGAAACTCACACATTCTATACTGCACCAGGCTATCTTCCCAGTGAGTACGTTGCTCTGTACCGACACAGCAGGGTAACAAGCCACCTATAAACAGTGAAATGTCCAGCGGGTAGAAGCTGAAGTGTGGCCCATTTACTACATTTTATGCAAGCTATGGTCCATGGGGGACAAAAATCACTTGTCCAAAATGGGGTGGAAGGTGAGGTAGGAAATGGATAGGCTGTATATTCAGGCTCACATAACAACTGGAGCTTCAAGTTACCTGGGTGGCGTGAGAGACACACTCAATGCCCTCATGCCTCATTACAGTGTTTCTGGCCTTGATCTGTTTTCTCAACAATTTCTTCTCTGATTTATTGCATTTCAGATTGTTTTGATCAGTGGTGTCCATTTCCATACTGGAGACTTGGAAAGACAAGGCCAGAGCAGAAGGAAGAAAATGTTCAAGATTCCTTTAAAACATGAATATGCCATTTTATTCACAGACATTTTAAAACAATTTTTAAAGAACTGCTGACAACATAAAATTCCTATGTAAAAAAATCCATTATTTCTATCGCTAGTAAAACCTCTGTTCTAACCCCACCTCTAATACAAAGGTGGGAGGGATAGCTCAGTGGTTTGAGCGTTGGCCTGCTAAACCCAGGGTTATGAGCTCAATCCTTGAGGAGGCTATTTAGGGCAAAAATTATCAGAGATGGTACATGGTCCTGCTGTGAAGGCAGGGGACTGGACTCAATGACCTTTCAAGGTCCCTTCCAGCTCAAGGAGTTAGAAATTAATGGAGATTGCCTAAATCCCTTACAGATCTTGGGGGAGTGTCTCATTTTTTCACCATTTGAAAAATAGAGAACAAATCTCACCTAGTTCACACAGCTCTGGTGAGATTATTCATCTCCCTCACAAATCCTTATTTCAGATTGGAATGGGGAACTTCATTTAGTTCATGATTTTTCCAATTTTACAATTTTGGCAAGGGTGAAGGAGAGAGGATCACAAAATTAACTTGAATGCAAAAAATGAGTTTTCCCCTTCAGTTCATTCCCACAGGATTTTTTCCTAGTGAGTGAGTCATGCAAAATAAAAGGCAATCTATGCTACATATCAGGGAAGAATAAATTCTTAACCAACTAGACTGCTATGAGGGGAGCCGTAGGTATAGTATATAATGCCAAGGTTTATTATTAATTAGGGATGTAAGCAACTAAACTGGTCAACTATCCAATAAGCACCGTCTCAGCGGATAGGAGGGGCAGGGGCACAGCAGGGAACTAGTGGTGCTTCTGCCTTTGAAATGTAGCAAAGGCTCTTGCAACATTTCAAAAGCAGAAGCGCTGCAGGGAGCCTGAGGTGAGCTGGGGACTCAAACAGCCCCCCGCTTCCTGCTTCTGAAATGTACAAGAGCCCAAAAAGGCTCTTATACATTTCAAAAGCAAAGCACGGCTGGGAACGCGGGGCCAGTGGGGGACTGAGTCCCTTGCTGGCTCCACACTCCCAGCATTTTGCTTTGTTGAGGAAGAACGGCTGTTACGTAAAAGGGGGGTTTTTGCACAAAAAGGCGCCATCTACACAGTGCTTTTTTGTGCAAAAACCTCTTGCGCAAAAGGGAAAGGAAGAGGAAATGAAAATGAGAGGACGACATATGCAAATGAGTGCTCCATTTGCATTTTCTCTTTCGCAAGATCATAGTTTAGACATAGCCCTACCGATCACAATAAGGCAAGAATTTTGCCTTATCTTTTTCCTCCTTACAGTGTGTTCTCTACCTCCTGCCATGTATTTTTCTGTCTCTTCTACTTTCTCCCACTTCTTTCTCTGACAGCACCAGTTAGACAGATGAGATACGACCATCCTTTCCCTTTTCCCTCCCCTACCCTTGCTAACCCTTTCCTACCCATCATCCCACTGCCCCAAACTGCAGAAAAGTTGTGGCAAGCACCAACATACTTATTTGTGTCACTCCATCCTCAATGCTTCATCAGTTTGTGTCTCTCAGATTATAAACTCTCCAAAGGAAGACTGTCTCTCAACCTGTCTTTGCAGCGCACCCTGCACAATGGGGCTCTAATCCTATTTGGGACTTGTAGAGCCAACCATGGTAAATAAATAATAACGATAAATAAATAATAACAATAGGATAGGTTCCTACATGACACAGGCAAGTGGTTCTTTTGCCCTGGACCTCACCCATTCTAGACTATGAGTGCATGTGCATAAAGGATTTTGAAGAGGAAAGGTCGAGTGTATGTGCATTCTGTGAGGTTAATGACATTTTATATCACTAAAAATGAACTTTCAAAAAATAAAATGATCTTTTTAATCCAAAACAAGGCCTACCAATTAAAATCCAAAAAAAATCTTTTCAAGCTCTTCACCTCCATATGTAAAAAACACAATCCGTACTAATCTCTAGAGACAGGGAAACATCCATTAAAACTAGGCCGGATCTTTGTCCCAGTTCCAGTGACTGACACAAAGAGATTTATAAGCCAAGTACTGTCTAAGCTAATTGGCCTGGTACAATAACTCGGGCTTTAAAGGCTCAGGCTTGTAAATCCATAGGTCCAGGCTCAATCCCCACAATAAAATCATTGGACTAGGTAGGGATGTATAAATGTGGTTAAAAATTTAACCCTGTTACTGCCAAAAATCAAAGCAGTTACATGCATTGCAGGCTCTGCTGTATAAAGCAGAAATAAGCTTTATACTGCAGAACCCATAGCATATCATCTCTGGGAGCGGGGCCAGCAAGGGCTGCTGACAGCCCTGCTCCTGGGGAGCCAGCATATAACCTGCAGTGGAGGAGGAGAACAGCCAGGCCCCCCACAGACAGAGGCAGGTGAGGAGCTGCTCCAGTTCCTACCAGTTAACTGGAACTGGTAAGCCTCGCTCACACATGAAAAGTAAGGTGTACGGGTTAACCTTTTACACTCCTAGGACCAGCAGACCTACTATGAAAAGAAAGCAAGATTTCTCAGATGGCACTCTGGAATATGTCTCAAATTATACAGTATCAGCATCCTTGTATACAAATCTGTGCACAAGTCAGTCACTAAATACAAAACTACAAGAATCTGTAAAAAAAACATTTAAATGATGGTCAAATGAAACATGTGTAGCTGATACAACTTTGCAATATATATTATAGTGAAGTGGTTTACTTGATTATTCAGTAGAGGCAAATAAATTGTTATAAATCACTCAAAAAGCATGCAGATTATAATTATATATTACTTGCTCTTTCAATGTTACTGACATAAAATACACATAATTATGTTCCATAATTATAAAAGGAATATCTTTAAGAAGAACACAATTAATAAAAATGGAAATAAATTTGAAATCCTGAAATGAAACAGTAGTAAATTCCTTTCTAAAATGTTTTTCTCCCCACTTCTTTAATCCAAAGGTAAATTAAAATGCTTGTGAAAGGAAACATTGCTAGCAATGGAAAGTGATGTCCTCCCTCAATAGAACAAGTTCCAGCAGGGACAGCTGCAACAATGCTGTTCGGAAGATGTGTTTCTACTGATTACCAATAGGTGTGTAGGAAAATTTCTATACTCATTCAGGCCTTTTTGACGAGTACTGTCATGCAATCGTTGAACAATCAGGTTCTCACATTTATAACTTAACTCAGAAAGAGGTTCAGGTGCCCTAACACTCAGGTGGGGCACTGTTCAGATGGGAAAAGTTCTGCCTAATGAAATATGTCACTTACATGACCACGAACACAGCCATATGAAGCTACTTAATCCATCTTCATACCATGCATTTGTTAATGATTGGGCATTCACTGTCTCCCTTATGAAATTATTACAAAGGATAACAGATCTCAGTATTACACAGTCTCTTCCTATATTCAATCCTGATTTTCCTCTCCTGTAGCCCAGTACAGTACTCCTAATTTTAGTGTAATTGATCACTTGCCCTCCCAGAGGTCTCCCATGAATGAGAAGTGAGAGGAAGTTGTGGGCTCAATCCCAGTGGTGTCCTTTGAAGGGTGGTCCTCTTTGCCTAAGAAGACTGCAAGTTCAGAATACTTCTTATCTGAAATAGACTGTTTTGTTTTCTACCGCAGTGAAACACTTGGAGCATAGCAGTCCCCATAAGTGTGTTTCAGAATAAAGGAAAAAAGAATCAGCTAAGTAAAGACAAGGGAAACATACCCGCTTAACAAAATGTGGAGTGAATTTAGTTTTCACTTGCGAAAGGAGAGCATGGAGAAAAATGTAAGAACAAAGTTAAAACTCCAGTTTATCTCTGTAAGAACCCATTTTGAGAGATCAGTTACATAATTTTCCTTTGAGATATGACACTAGATGTCTTTTACTGCTGAAGCTATTATAATACTACCTGCCAAGTACAAGTAACAAAATAGTGGGAAGAAAGTTTCTGACAGAGAGAGACAAACACAGGTTAGATGAGCACACACACAAGAAATTAAAAAGTTCCTTCTGTTGAAGTGGGCATCTATTTATTTCAAGGATTTTGGCCTGATTCACTAATGAATCTCTTCATAATCAGCCCTGGACTGGAAAAGCAAAGGGAAACACAAACCAGAAGGACAGTGGTATGGACTCTATAGCAGGGTTAGGCAAAACATGGCCCACAGGCAGAATCTGGCCTACCAAACATTTGGATTTGGATCGCCATAACCCTCAAGGCCACCAATATCCCATGGCCCAGTGGGGTACTCAGGTAGAACATAAGAACGGCCGTACTGAGTCAGACCAAAGGTCCATCTAGCCCAGTAGCCTGTCTGCCGACAGTGGCCAGCGCCAGGTGCCCCACAGGGGGTGGACCGAAGACAATGATCAAGCGATTTGTTTTGTGCCATCCATCTCCAGCCTCTGACAAACAGAGGCCAGGGACATCATTCCTACCCCCTGGCTAATAGCCTTTTATGGACCTAACCTCCGTGAAATTATCTAGTTTCTCTTTAAACTCCATTATAGTGCTGCCTGACTGTTTCAGCACACTGCTCAGAGCAGCTAACTACTGGGGCAAGCATGTCTCTTCTCTGCATGCCCCTTGGGGGGAGGGAGGAAGCAGGTCTCCACGCACTGCCCTTGTCCCCAGCATCATCCTTTACAGCTGCCATTGGCCAACTGCAGGGGTGTTACTTACTCCCCTAACCCCAAGGGGCAAGCAGAGACAGACATACTTGCCCTAGAAGCTGGCCACTCTGAATGGCATGTGGGACCACGGCAGGAAAGCAGCCTGCCTAAGCAACCTGCCTGAGCATCCCGCTGGGCCACCAGTTAGGAGCCTGCTATAGTAAAGTGCCTCCCTGCCAGAGCCTACACCTGGCAGCCCCTTCTACACTCCTGCCCCAAGTCACAACCCCTTCTTGCACCCAAATGCCCTCCCACACCTTGTACCCCAACCTCTCCCAGACCCTGCACTCCATTCTGCATTCCCCACCCCAGGTTAGAACCTGCTCCTGCATCCACACCCCTTTTCAATTCCTTCCTGAATCCAACCCCTCTCCATTAATATAGTAGAAAAGTGTGGCCCGTGACTACTTACCAAATTCTTGGAGTGTCCCCCACCCCTGAAAATTATTGCCCACCCCTACTCTATGGGAAAGCTTGCGAAGTGCTTGTCTACAGATAGATACTGGACCTCATTCTCCACTGTCTTATACATTACATAGCCATTTACAGCTCAATTCTATGTCTTTTGAAAGCTATGACAGTGATAACTTTGATGGTGCAAAATAAAGCCTTTAGATCTGTACACAGTGATTGAAAAACTCTTATTTTGTAACATTTTACCTACTTTGCATAGATCAAAATTACCATAAAAAGGTACAAAACAATGGAGAATCAGAGCCATTATTACAGACCTTAACTTATTTGCATTGAAAAACCCCCCACAAAATACATGAAAATTAAAACAAAAACACAGCCATCATCATGCTATACTGGCACTTATAACTGTGAATATAATGATCTATATCATGCCACACTGAAGTTAATTGAAAGAGTTATTGGAGAGTTTCCCTTAACAATGGAAAACCTGGGCTGGCCTCATATGTTTTAGTCACAATTTCTGAAGAAAACAAAGTTCAGTTTAGCTTGTAGTTAGGTATGCTAGCTACCAGCAGATGGAGCACTTTACCCACTTATAAAAGGTTTGAAGGGGAGGGTTGGTGAGTTTTTTTCTTTTTTATTATAAGTAACCTCCAAGATTGATAGGTGCAATCAATTTCCCACTGACTTCACTTTGGGTTGTAGGTACTCAGTACTTCTGGAAAAGATGCACAGATAGAAAATGGAAATAAAAAGAGAAGGGGGAGAAAAGCAATCACTTACAATTCTATTATTGCAAAAGCGGTGAGGAGTCCCGTGGCACCTTACAGGCAGTCCCCGGGTTACGTACAAGATAGGGACTGTAGGTTTGTTCTTAAGTTGAATCTGTATGTAAGTCGGAACTGGCGTCCAGATTCAGACACTGCTGAAACTGACCGCCAGTTCTGACTTACATACAGAATCAACTTAAGAACCACAGGCGTCCCCAAGTCAGCTGCTGCTGAAACTGATCAGCAGCTGATTCCAGGAAGCCCGGGGCAGAGCAACTCTGCCTGGGGCTTCCTGTAGTCAGCTCTGGTCAGTTTCAGCAGAAGCTGACTTGGGGAGAGCTGTTCTCTTTATTTTTGTTAGCTGGATGGCAGTGCATTAACCCCTTAAATGTCCTGGAGGGAGGCTAAATCAATACCTTGTGTCAAATGGGCAACATCACTATCAGGTTTTTTTTCCCCTACAATGCAAAGGGTTTGAGTTGAAACGATCAGGGGTTATTTTCCTCCCTCTTTTAACTCTGAAACATTTTCTTCCAGGGAAAAAACTAATCCTCAGTATGGAGGAGTTCACCGTTAAAACGATCTGACGAAGTGGGTCTTTGCCCACGAAAGCTTATGCTCCAACACTTCAGTTAGTCTATAAGGTGCCACAGGACTCCTCGCCGCTTTTGCAGATTCAGACTAACACGGCTACCCCTCTGATACTTGAATCCTATTATTGATTATTTCCGTAATTTCTTGATGTTTTTAATACTGTACATAAAATGTAGTATATTGATGATAACGTGCCTTACAACGTTTGCCCACGAAAGCTTATGCTCCAACACTTCAGTTAGTCTATAAGGTGCCACAGGACTCCTCGCCGCTTTTGCAGATTCAGACTAACACGGCTACCCCTCTGATACTTGAATCCTATTATTGATTATTTCCGTAATTTCTTGATGTTTTTAATACTGTACATAAAATGTAGTATATTGATGATAACGTGCCTTACAACGTTTCACAGTTAACTGTCAAGCCAATATATAACTTTTTATAGACACAATAGTCTTATTTTATTAAACTGCCATCTTACAATGAGATGCATGCAGGCAATTCCTGCACAAACACATTGCAGCATCAGGGCTTTACTGTGTAAGATTGCCAACATGAAACTCTAATGGTAACAAGATGGACTTCAGCTTAAATCTACTTTACATTTATTTACAAACTCATAGCTTATAATTGGAGATGAGCTCCAGATGCAAGTTTCAGACACATATCAGGGCTGCAAATATCAAAGTCTGAAGAGCTTTGAATCTGCTATTTACGGTTTGAATCTGGTTTGGATTTTAAAAACGGACTCCCAACATGCAGGACTGGCCAGATCTAGAGGTCTGACTGGGGCTCAACCTGTTATGAACTATAATAATTACAGAGATGATTATTTATTCATTCATCTGTCAAGAATACATTGGGTTTGTACATGGTGTTGTACGAACACACAGAAAGAATGTTCCCTTCCAAAGGGAGTTGACAGGCTAACTAGAGAAGGCAGGGAAAAGGTGGGAAGTGGTGCTTAATTTGTAATGCAAGAGGTGCTGGAGCTCAAGCAACTTTTTAAAATTCAGAACTTTTGCCGCAAGTGCCGGGGCTCAACCTTGGCAAGCCTTCTGACACAGATTAAGCACTGGTAGGAAGGAAAAAAGAAAAAGGAAGTAACATACGGGACTGTAGGTTTGTTCTTAAGTTGAATTTGTATGTAAGTCGGAACTGGTACATATTGTAGGGGAAACTCTAGCCAAACATTTCTCCAGAGCTCAGTTTTATTCTCCCACACCTCACTTCCCTCAGTTCTTTATTCTCAAGCTGAGGTGTCTGCTGAGAAAAGCCGCTCCGCGTCTCCCTGGTCTGCTGGGGGGGAAGGGGGGCGCTAGCTTTGCATCTCCCTGGTCTGCTGGGGGGAAGCAGCTAGTGCGGGGGTTGCCTCACCCCGTTTGTAAGTAGGGATCCGATGTAAGTCGGATCCATGTAACCCGGGGACTGCCTGTAATGCAGCGATCAGCAGCAGAGCATGAACTGAACACATCACCATCTCAGCCATATGTAGTATCTACAACTAGACGGTGCTGTAAAAAACAGTGTCCTCCTTGTACAGCACACATGTACAACTGCACACACAACCCTTTTGCCAAGGAAAGCTTACATTCTGGAAAGGGTGTGGGTCTTTTCCATGTACGTGAACCTAAGGAGCCTTATACATCAGCCTATGTAAGCAAGTACTTACCACAGGAGAGGGACAGAGCAACAGAAAGCCGGGGGAGAGTCCTCCTGCCTCGGGCATGGTGCGCTCCCTACACACAGGGATTCCCAGACCCGCCTTCTTCCGGGGGAGGTAGAGAAACGCATGGTGTCCTAAAGCCCCAGTTATGTATGTGTCTGAGGGGGCCTGAACCACCTGCTGAGACCCCACTGACCCCTCCGCGCAACGGGCCACATCCACGCCTGACCAGAAGCCAGCCCGGCCCCTGGAGCTGTGCCCGCCGCTGGAAGGGGCGGGGGGAATAAAAAAGCACATTACCTTGCTGGAAGCGGCCATGCTGGGACTTGACTACAACTCCCAGGAGCCTCACTGCCTACCGCTCCCATCATGCAATGCCGGGGCAGCAGCTTCCCTTCCCTGTTAACCCCATAGTTCCCACGCACCCGGGCAGCCTCATCGTCCCCTGAGCGCGCACCCTGCAGCATCCTGGATGCGGAGTGTATTAGCGTCCCACACGGACATGGGTGTGGACGTTTATTTCCAGGGGCTCCCAACGTTTTCCTTCAGAGCGTCCCCCCAACGTGCTATAAACCCTCCACAGACCGCCCGTGGCACAACTGCCGTTCTCCATACCCAGTAGGGCTGTGTCCAGACTCAGGGTTTTTTTCGGAAAAAGTAGCCTTTTTCCGAAAAAACTTCACCTGCGTCTAGACTGCAGCCGCGTTCTTTCGAAATTAAATCGAAAGAACGCGGCTTTTCTTTCGACGGCGGTAAACCTCATTGCACGAGGAAGAACACCTTCTTTCGAAAGTGCTCTTTCGAAAGAGGGCGTTCTTGAATGTAAATAGGGCTTCTTCGAAAGAGAGCATCCAGACTCACTGGGTGCTTTCTTTCGAAAAAGCGGCTTGCTCTTTCGAAAGTTCCGCGTGCAGTCTAGACGCTCTCTTTCGAAAGAGGCTTGCAGTCTAGACATAGCCTAGAGTAAAAGCCATGGCGGGTGTAAAGCCAGCAGGTGGAGTAGAACCTGGGAGCTTACTGCATGAGCCTCTACCTACAATACGGGTGGTGGACCTAAGGCTCAGAGTCCCTCCTGCACGACTGCAGGGCTGGAGCACCAAATCGCCAAGCCTGGGTTCCACTGGGCTCTAATGTGCCAGTGGAATGTGACTTTCTCCTTCTCAGTCAGGGGTCACATCAGTGAGGTTGCAACATCATTCACTCAAATTTGGTCCAGTTGCCCCTGCAGTATAACAGAGATGTGGGCAGGCCAAACCTGAATGACAGTGTGAAGCAATACACTGAGTCACAATGCCCAGAGCAGGCAACTAGCTCTAACTCCACAGACCAGAGCAGTCATTGTGAGTGATTACAGGGCAGGTTTGATGGTGGTGGGGTCCTTGGGGCATTTTAAATCAGCTGGGGGTGGCAGGCAGGGCCGGAGGAGTAGGGTGTGCGTCTTTACAGTCTCACTTATGAACCAAGCTGGGACTAGAATTGCAATGCTAGGGCAGAGCTGTGGAGGATACATGTCAGAGAATGCAAAAATGCACCGGTCAAATGCAAAGAAAGATAAAATGCAGTTGGTGGGTCACCTTAGTAAAAAGTTTGGGAACCACTGCTCTGTATATTCTTTCCTTCTGTTTATCTATCTTCCTTTCCCGCAACACACTCTCATCCCCCATGCCTCCTAATCTCCTCTTCCGGTGACCCACAGTATCCCAACCACATGCTCCCTTCTTGGGGCCACCAGCCCTGTCTCCCAGTAGAACCCTTGGTTGTCCCCTCACACCTTCCCAACTTCCATCCCATTTAGAAAAATTCCTCCCTACACTTGCCCCTGATTTCTGTTCTGCATTGACCACCCTTTGCCTCTATATTTCCTCTTCCCAGAACCAGGGCCATCCCTAGGAGGGTGTGGGGAGGGGATTTAGGTGGGGGAAGGGTTCAGGCTCTAGGAAGGAGTTTAGGTGCTGAGTGCAGGCTCTGTCTTAAGCAGGGCATTTTGGGGGCAAGAGGAGGTGTAGGCTCTGAAAGGGAGCTTGGATGCAAGAGGGGTGAGTGGTGAGGCTCTCGGAAGGCTTAGGTACAGTTGCACAGGGCCTGGGGTGCAGGCTATTGGATGGAGCCTAGGTGCTGGCTCGGGCCTGTGGCAAAGGGTGGGGGTTCTGGGTCCAGGCTCTGGGAGGGAGTTGGGGAGCACTGAATGGTCCCCTCCTGCAGTGGCTTCTGGGGGGTGGGGGTCTCTGGGTGCTGCTGCCCATTTGTTGCCTCCATGTATCCTCCCCCCTGCCTCCTCCTGGTGCATCCCTTGGCCCCGCCTGCCACCCCCAGATGATTTAACATACCCCAAGGGCCCCGCCATCACCACCAGCAGTGCAGCAGGGTTAGAGTCATTCCCCATGGCTACTGCCCTCCTGCAGTGGCTTCTGGGGGGTGGGGGTCTCTGGGTGCTGCTGCCCATTTGTTGCCTCCATGTATCCTCCCCCCTGCCTCCTCCTGGTGCATCCCTTGGCCCCGCCTGCCACCCCCAGATGATTTAACATACCCCAAGGGCCCCGCCATCACCACCAGCAGTGCAGCAGGGTTAGAGTCATTCCCCATGGCTACTGGCATGTGTGACCCTGTGGCTGGAGGGTTGTCTCTGTGCGCTACTCCCAGCTGCTGGCAGCAATGCACAGCATAGACACCACCCCTCCTCCTTCGGTGCCGCAGGGATGCTGCACATGCCTGCAGTCATGAAGAGCAAGCAGCAAGAAGCTGTTCTAACCCTGCTACTCTGTGGGTGGTAGCAGTGGGGCTCCCTGGGGCATTTTAAATCTCCAGGGGATGGCAGGCCCATAGGCAGTGAATTTTGGTGAAGTGTGACCAGGGCCAGGAATATTCCTGGTGCTGGGGCACCACAGCCCCATATAATTTGTTGCCTGTGTTTGCTGTCTCCATTTTCTCTCAGCACCTGTCCCCCAAAACTAATCCCCTAATTTGTTTCCCCACACCTACATTCTTTTTTGCAGCTCTTCCCTCCAGTACAACGCCAGAGGAGAGGAGAAGTGCAATGTGGTAGCAGGGGCTGAGAACTTCTTACTTTTTCCAGCAGTACCTGACTGGTGGAGTTGGACACTCCAGACAAGATGGCTACAGCAGAGGAATCTCCAGATAGGATGCGGGGTGAAGGAGTGACAATGGACAAATACCAGAATTGCTGTGATCTAGGAAGTTTGTTCCTTAGGGCTCAAAGGCTCACCCTTTCAACCATCGGCCTTCTATTTCACATGATCTTCTGCTGGCCAACAGCAATTTCATGCTGTTCAATGGAGAATGCATCCCAAAATGAGAGACATAGGAAGAATGCAAAACACCTTGTACATTGCAGAGGATTAATGTATATTCATAAACTGCACAGTTGGTAACATCATTTTACATATTCCATATTCCTGACAATACTGTATAGAAAAGTAAATAGCACCAAGTGTGGGGAGGTTAGTAAATGTAGGGCTACATCTACATTGGCATCCCTTTCCGGAAAAGGGATGCTAATGAAACGAGTCGGAATTGCAGATCCACGGGGGATTTAAATATCCCCCACAGCATTTGCATTTACATGGCTGCCGCTTTTTTCCGGCTTGGGGATAAGCCGGAGAAAAGCGCCAGTCTAGACGCAATTCTCCGGAAAATAAGCCCTTTTCTGGAGGATCTCTTGAAAGTAGGAATAAGAAATCCTCCGGAAAAGGGCTTATTTTCTGGAGAATCGCGTCTAGACTGGCGCTTTTCTCC